AGTAGGAGATGAGCTTGGGGTACTTGACCTTCACCCACTTTTCTGGAACATGCAGTAGCTCACAAGGAAAGGCAGCATAGCCAGTGGGCACCAAGACCTTCATCCTGCGGGGAAGAGGGGTTGCTGTGGATTAAGGCTGCTCTCATGTCCCATGGGCAAGACCAGGGCCTCAGGGCTAAGGGAGGCCATGTGGACCCATAATGACAAGGACAGACTTAGTCAGCCATTCACTACAGCCTCTGCTTCTACTTACTAAGGACCCTCTCTGCCTGGGAGGACCATGTAACAGTTCATGTGAGTTTCTAGATACCCATTTCGTGAGTCTGTTCCTTCGCTGTCACCTGAGGGTCTCAATGTAGACGTTGTAAACCCCAATACCTCTGTCCCAGCAGAGCAGGATCCTGAGAACATCTGCTGTCTTTCTTATCTCACCATCATGCCTTCTTTGAATTAAAGGCCAAGTGGTCACCAACCCCAGGCCCAGAGTCCCCTCTCCCTCCTCAGCCAGGCTTACCCTTCATGTCTATGGACCATGATGCCCTGGCCCATGTTCTCCTTGTAGAAGCGCTGGGAGGAGACAATGGTTCCTGTTGTCCAGTAGATCATGATGTTGGTCAGCAGATCTTCCAGGGAGAACTTCCTGGGAAAGCACACAGGATGCCCAGGCTCAGTGCCAGGGTCCTTGCCTATCTGACTTCCCTCAAATGACCGGTGTCATTTTTTTTCGATAGGTCGACTGGGTCAAGGTCCTGTTTCTAGGTGGATCGCTAATGCAGAGTGCTAACCATGGCAGACAAGTTATACGTTTCCCACCTGTCTCACCACCAGGTGGCGCCCGTGCACCCAGGGACTCTGAGCCCAGGGGTGCACACCACAGCGTCTACCTCCCCCTTCCTCCTGGGTTTTCCAGGTCATGGCTAGCACTGCCCACCCTCCAGTGACCATTCTCCCGTCCCCAGTTCAAGATTCCAGGTTTCTCAGAGTAATGAATTTCCCTCTCCCAGGATGCTAAGGGATTTGAAACTCCTGGCAGCAGGAAGAGGCTGGTCTTCTGGGTATTCCTCAGGAGCCAGCACACAAACTGGCTCGAGGTGATGAACCAAGAGTCAAGGGACCCAGGTACTAGTCTTGGCCCTAGTACTAAAGAGCCCTGGGACTCACAGTTGTTTGCTATGCCCGTGTCTCAGTTTGTCCTTTGGTAAAAATAGAATGAGTAATGCTTGGAAGATGTGTGGGGACATCAAAGTAAAGCATATAGAAAACACGGGTCCCTTACTTCGATAGCATGCCAATCAGTGTGATGATTTGGATAGGATGTGCCCCACAAAAGGTCCAGAAACTGATATAAGGCTTTGGGGAAGTGATTGGATCCTGAGGGCTCTGACCACATGAATAGACAGCTCTATAGATGGCTTTCTAATTTGTTAACATTTGGGAGGTGATAGTCAAGAGGAGTCTGGCGAAGCCTGCAGGGTGCTGGGGCCCTGTTCTTATGCTGTGTCTGTTCTCAGCCAGTCTGCTCTGTGGCTCTGCCTTGCCTGCCTACCCTGATGCTCTCCCTCACTGTAGACCCAGAAACAGCCAGATACCGCAGCTGGAATCTCTGAAATCATGAGCCACAACAAACTCACTTTTGTTGCTCACTGTCCCTTGGTAGAGGAGAGGAAAGACAAGGACTTGGGGACATGTTTTGCCTGGGTTGGGTGGCAGGGAAGACACCTCTAGGAGGTGATCTTGACACCTTGATCTTGTCAAGACCTTGATTGTGTCTTGAAAGAAGAGCAAAATGGTGGGAGGGTGTGCAGACAGGTTAGCTTGGCAAACACCACAGGGCTGGAGGTGGGGGTAGCCTGACAGCCCAAATCTTACCGCCTTGGGGATCAGGTTTTGTACTAGGTCCTGAGAGGAAAGGAGGAAGACCACAAGGGAAGCCCATATTCCCAGGAGCTTGGAGCTCAGTGAGGGGCTGACGAATCCTGGCTGTCACTGAAGGATGTGGCCTTTTGCAGGGTCACAACCCCAGAGATTCCCAGGAGCTTCCTGAAGAGTCCCTGCTCTGGTCTCCGGCTGTCCACTGTGGATGCTGCCGCTGCTCCCGGGATGTTCCCTGACCTTAGAGCCTTAACTCTGTGGTTATCTGCTCTTCAGCCTTCCAGTGGTCCAAAGCCCCCATGTGTTCTCCTGGCCCTCCGGAAAACCCAATCCTAGCTACTACTGCTTTTGAAGTTCCCAAACTGGTTCTTCCTAGCAGGCTGGTACCCACCCTTCCCTCTCTTCTTGCCACCCTCTTTGAGGACGTCTTGGCCCACCAGATAGCCGTGTCAGCCATCTGTCTGGGTTTCTAGGTCTTTTCTGGGCTCCCCCATCCGCCTTGTTGGCCCCACACTGTCAGTCATCTCCTCCCTGGACTGTTCACATACAGTCGAGGGGCTCACAATATCGCTAGGGTCCTCCTGTTCCCAGCCTGGCCAACATCCATGCTCCGGCCACTTGCCTACAACCTCCCCTGAAACCTTTCTCAATCCTGTATTCAGAAACTGTCACTGCTGCCCAGACCAAGAGGAAGGGGCCTCTTACTGGGTGTTGTCTCCCCAGTCTTCCTGCCTGTTTGTCTCTCCTTTTCTTTTTCTCCCTTCTTTGTGGTTAGCAAAACTTTACAGCTTCCCTAGGTTCTGTCCTTCAGATTTTTTTCTATATAGATTGAACTTGGCTCTCAAGACCCCTCACCTGAGCTCGACAGGTCTGAGTCCAGGCCCTGCCCCTCAACACAACCATGCCAAGAATGATCTTACTGTCTATGCTGAGACGGACCATTTGACATTCATGCCAGTACACACATGAATGCACAAACACTCATCTACCTAATCACAGTGTTCAGGAGCCTGCATATTTATACCTATGCACATGCACACATATATGCATAGTGGTTAAGGGCTTATACACTCGCATACCTGTGCTTACTAATATATTTACACACTCAGAGTTGTACACTCACCTGTGTACACATAATGCATATACACACCTGTGTTGGTTCTTAGGCATGCATACTCACAGCCTCACACATGTGCATGAACACTCTCATGCAAGCATGTGTGTTTACATGAAAAAGGCTCAGGGGTCCTCACAGTCCTACCTACAGGTTCCTCCCTCTTAGTCTCCATTCTTAAGCTGGAGATGTGCCATTTCCAGGCATTGATATCTGGACCAGGAACCCTGGTTCTGTGTCTTCCCTGTTCCCTCAACCTCAGCTGCCCTGGCTCTCTCTTCCCATGGTGCCTGTCCCTGCTCCTGGCACCTGGACCACACTACACAGGCTGCTCTCCCTACCTGGCCCTCAGCTCAGCTCCAGGTCGTGATTTAGCTGATTATTAGCAGCTATGGACTGAGACCAGCCAGCCGTAGGAAGAGTTTGCTGCTTTCCGCGACTTCCCACGTCCCTTTGCCCAATGATCTTTCCATTCTCTGAAGCATGCTTTGATTTACCTCTGCCTGCTTTCACTAATGGAGTAGGGCAGGGACATCCTGGAGTGTTGAGGGCTAAGGGGGCATTACAGAAATATTTCTATGAAATGGAAAATAGGGAGAATTTAGGTGATGAGAAGCTTCCTTGCGGGGACGACTACTCCGGGATTTAATCCTGTGGACTGGAGCTCTTTAAAGAGCTCTCTGTCTTCTGCCTGACCACAGCTGCTCATCTACCACATCAGCCACTTCCGGACTCGGGTGTGAGTCTTCTTCCTGCCGTAACTACCTGACGTAATCCTCAGAGATCTGGGCTGCTCATGCCAGGCCAGAGACTGAAGGGGGCTGCAGGCATGGTCACAAGGAGCATACCAAGTTCCTTGCCAGGGACCCAGGAGTGTTCCCTCAGTCAGGATTCGTGCTGAGTGTGCTCTGCGGAAGACAGACTCAGGGCGAGGACTTGTCCGGGCTCTTGGTGAGCTGCCCAGAGGAACGGGTTGGTGACCTGTCCCTGACGGATCTGCTCACGTCCCTGGACAAGTCCAA